ATATCACATGTTGTACTCACTGAGCTCTACAAAATGGCAAATACCAGATTCAAAACGGAGACTCACACTTGGATATGTTCCCTCGTAAGTAGAATTGCATGATGGTTTGAATCTCCTTCCACTATCAAACGATCATTCACAATCGTAAAAATCGATATTAGTCTTTAGTTCCCATTTAATCAATCAAATGGAATCACGGTAACGTTGCCTTCAATAAGACTGACAGTCGTATTGAAAGATGTTTTGAATGGTTCAAAAATTAACAGACAAAAAGAGAAAAAAGAAAACAGCTTTCTAATTGGTTCAATTAATCCTTTTAACTGGCAAAAGTATCACTTTCACAATGAACAGATTGGATATTCGTCTCAATGGAATGTCTGTCTGTGTAGGTTCTCTATATACCACTGATTTTTTGATGTCGTTCGATTAAATTCGATTGACAAGCAACAATTGATTGGTTTATCTTTGATCGAATGTCTTTAGTTCTGCATACATTATAGGTTTTCAATAACTGACTCGTTCATGAAAGTTTATATGTATTCAGAACCATCAGCATATAAATAATATTTGTAAGAAATCTCTCATTTGACATTTTCAAAAACCAAGTAGGCAGCGCTACCTGTTGGTTCGCCATAATAGAAAGTTATCATGAAAAAATATAGCAAAATCACTTGGGTTTTTGGCATAGTAGATAATGTTTCTCGATTCTTTACATGTGATCAGCCTATACTGCTCTCAATTTCAAAGTCCCTCTTGCTCTACCCAAACAATCACTTCATGTTTTAGCTATTTATGTATTTCATAATAGTTAGTACATTTTCAGGTGTTACACACACGAATGAAGTGAAATATAAGTTTTAATAAATGTTAGCTGAAACGACTAACAGTGAGATTGATGCTAGTCCATAATATTGATCGTATAACTGCTTTAGTCTTATCTTTACTTAGTCTTTAAAATCAATCTGAAAAATAAAATATTGGTCGTCAGCAACTATGTAGATCGTGACGAATCAGTAAATCAATCTATCTATCTCTCCCGATGGCAATAAACTCTATAGTGTATTATGAATAACTCTCGCTTCAAAATATAGTACAGTAGGGGATTTATTATAGAACCGAACGTTTTTCATATCTATCTAAAACAGAAGTGAACAGCTTTGATCGAAATTGATATATTATCACAGTCACTGAAGATTGTGGACTATCAATGTATACAGTAGATATCAAATTTATTCAGCTAGTAGATAATTTAATATTCTATGGTGTATATCTCAAAAACTAGATGAGCTAGAATCGTCTGATGTTCGCCAGATTACAGACTATAATATCTAGTATAGTAGTAACAAATTTTAGAGCAATCTATTGATCTGTTTATTTTTTATTGACGATGCAGTTACAACATGCCGTTTTTCATTCTTTATAAGAATAACTAAACAGTATTTTTTCCAAACTGTTGCGCGCCTATCCTAAGTTGAACTTTTGATTATGATACATGATTGGATAGAATAACTTATGCTCTATATAATTCCTAAAAATATTTAGCTAATTTTATTGTTCAATATGTCATTAGCAAGAGCACAACAAACTACATTAGATATTCTATTGTAATAGATATTTTATGTTGGAATATTTTTTTAGTCGTATTCTATATATGTATACCAGTCACAGATAGACATTCTTATACTTTCTTATTCACATATTGAAGAGATTAAAATTTGTTGTAACAGCATGAAATTGTAGAAAATCTTTTTCTGTAAGCAATTCTTATATTGAGAATCAAAACAAATTAAATCACTTAAGTTATACATCTTTGTTGCGTTATGAATTTTAATTTAAGCCAATTCAATGTTAATCGGTGTTTTATATTTCACATAATTCAAGGAATGAATGTTCTTTACTAAGTCTTACTAATACAGCTTTCGCTATTATCTATTTGAACAGTTGTTGAATTTCATTCAGATATTTTTTGTTTAAATTAGATTGTAACGCATACATATATAGATATATTACACATTGACACGAATGTTATATTTATAAATTTTCTCTCTGTTTTTGTTATTCATTCTATTCTACTTTTCGTTAGTCACGTGTTTGTAATTAATAGTAATAATGATATATCTAAAACAAAAAAGAAGAAGAAAAAGAAGAAATTATGTTATCGTTCACATCGATCTATTATTTTAACAAAACAATTCAAAGCTTATTTAAAAAAGAAAAAGAGTAAACAACAACTAAATGAATATCATGCAAAGAATAATTCGAACGTCATTATTCATCATCAATCACAGCCGATTGAATCATCATCAATTGATCATTCAACTATGATCGATTTTCAAATAACACCTGATCTTTCCAAACGTAAATATATCTATAAAGATATTGCTTTATCAAATAATGATCAAAACCAAATAAATTGGGTAAATAAAAATAAACAGATCGATATTTTGTTTCACGCATGAACATACATTTTCTTTTTATAGAAAATCTTTCAATGTACACAATCATCATCATCAATGTCTTGTTTTGATCCATCTGTAACTAACGGTAGGGTCTGGATAATGTCTGGTCATTATTGAACAAGTCCCTTATGACTATTAGTTTCGAGTTACTGGTTCGATTGCACGTTTGCCAAGTTGTCATATATATCTGCTCTTATATTTAGTCGGGCTGTATAGAAAACTGAAGAGCTCTACGTCAGGTGAGCTTTCTTTCTAGAGCTACACCTAGAGCCTGCGAAAGTGGAAAAGAAGTATACGTCACCCAGTAATTGAAAATGATTTATTATTATCAGAGCAAACAAACAAATTTCCTGATTTTTAATGATTTCTATCACTGAAAATTAATTTTAATCTGGTCATTGTCAATCAATAGGAATTTTCAACTATTTACTACCGCTGTGAGACATTTTGCTATACACCTCTATCAAGCTTGAGATCCTCATGTGATTTCTGGTCACAGTTAATATTAGTGTTGGGAAAGATATCAGGCTAAAAAAAAATATACTGCTAGATATTATCCTATACCACGAGATAGTTGAAAGGCAGGAATATTCTTCTTTATTTTATATTCTTTTGAGACACATTTTCAAGAATACTTCATTTTTAGGATTTTTGTATTTTATTTTATTACTTTAGATTGTAGTTATCATCCATTTTATTTTATCAATAATCCAGTATCATTACCAGACATACGAATTGGTTTATCACGACATCATAGTATCAAACAATTGCATAAAGCAATAATCAATTAGAGATGAATTTTTTTAGAAATTAGATATTTTTTTGGTTTATTGTTATAATAATTATGATTGTCAATTGGTTGATAATATTTATGTTTTGTAGTCTGTCTTCTTTATTAATTAAATAGATTTATTATAGTGCTTAAAATGATAGTCTATATAAAAGCTACATACTATTGTGTTATTCTAAATAATAATGATAATGAGCATGATGGTGAAAGTGGGTTTTCATATGTATTACATTCTTATGTTGAACAATAATAATAAGAAACTGTGCATGATGATAAGGATATCTATTGATAGATGATTCATTTGAATATGGTAAATGATAGAAAAAAAGAGCCTCACGAGATATGAAAGCAATTGTACTATTCATAGAAAATATAAACGATTATCAGCAGATATTTCTGTTGATGTACAACCGTTACATTAATAGAGTGTTATATTAGCAATTGCAGCAATTAAATCTAGATTATCAATAAATATTTAAAATAAATTTATTTTGAATACATTCTACTTGTTAGTAGAATAGCATCAAAAACAAGAAAATAAAACATTGAGAGTTCAACAGAGAAATATTTCTTCGAAATAATGGTCAAAAACAAATAATCTTCAATTGGTTATTATTATTATTATTATTTTTTTTCGATCAAGTTTTTTTCTTCGTATTTCTATAAAAATGACATTAAATAAATAATTCGTATCATGAGTTTTGTTGTCAAATATATCCAACTTGTATTTTCCTTTTAATAAATCATGTCGTACATTTCGAGACTAAATAGAAAATAGCGAAATTCAATAGAATGTGGATATCACAATCTGATTCGATTCATAGAATTGATACATGAATATTGAAATGTGAATAGAATATTAGCAAGCGTAAATATGTTGTGATGATAATAATTCTCAAATATAAGACAATCATAAATTGATTTATGCATTGATAAACTGAACTTATTCAATACAATTGAAGCCTTTTAGAGAATAGTCAAAAACAAAAAAAATACTCAATCGATCAAAACGATAGAAATTGAAGAACGATGATTGATCGGAATTGTTTGGTAAACTTGTTTAGTTCATCTTATTGATGAATAATAAATCAAATTTTCAGCTTAAGAAACTACTCTTCTATGAGTGTATTTTTCTTGAGGGCAATGACTTGATATGATTTACAAGAAAGTATATAAGTTATGAATTTTGCATCTAAATAAATTAATTCTATTAGATTCTTGAGAATAGAAAATTTTTTCTAAGTATTATCAGTTAGATGAGAAGAGTTGAGAAAGATGTAAATTTTTTTGTTCATTATTTGTTTGAAAATGATTGATATATGTTTTTGCATTCTAGAAAGAAAAAGCAATATTATGAATTTGATAAATCAAAAAACAATTGAAAATTATTATATGAATATAGAATAAAAAGTTAATCCTACTATTGAGTTTTTTTCCTTAAATTCTCTCATTCGACTATTGCTCTATTTTGTTCCTTAGTTTCAAGTAGTAAACTTGAAAAGAATGTTTCTTTATTAATGAGTCGAAGATTCAAATGTTTCATAAAACATAACTTCAAGTTTATTTTCTTGTCTTGTATACTTTCATTGATTTTGAATACTATAGTAATCAGAAAACAGAACATTTGAAAAAAAAAGATTTTTTTATCAATTGAAGTCTATTTATTATATTCAAAACTGAGAAAGCAGTATAGAGCCATAATAATGATACACAATCGTTTGAATTTCATTTACTTGATTTTTCGTCTCCAATTCTCGATTGAAAAGGCATTGTATTTTACTTTCAATCTGTTGCTTAATATTTTATTTGGTTTCCTACCTGTTTTCCTTGTGTCGTATTTAATTTTCAAGTAAAAACTTGAACCGAATTGCTGTAAAGGTAAAATACAAGTTGCTGTACACATATTTAATCGCAGCTTCTTTTCTGACGAATTGTTAATTCATCAAGCTAGTATTTTTAATAAAATAGTTTGGTAAAAAAAAGATAACAAAAACGAATAGATATTTTTCGTCAAAAAATGATATTAAAGATGATAATAACATGTTTGAACATTGAAGCGAAAAGATCTGAAAAACAGCAATTTTCATTGAAAATGACTTGGTGTTGAAATAACACAAGTGATTCTAGTGAACTGCGGTGTTTTTCTCTATTTGGTCCTATCAATAAGTGCTTTTTAGGTAAAACATTCTTTTTGTGCCGTGTGCTTTTATTGATTTTGAAAGATAACATTAAAAAAGTAAACTCGCGCACGTCTACATAAATGTTGTGCTTTCGCACCGCATTAAAAAACTCGCGCATGACTGCATAAATGCAGTGCTTCGCATTAATGGAACAAATTAATGCATCATGAAAACTATCGTATGATGCATTATTTTAATTTCCGGACAACCTTTTGTTTCCTGTTTAACAAGATATAGGAGGTATAGAAGATATAGGAGGTATAATGAGGTATACGAGGTATGAGGAGGTATATCAGGTATAGGAGGTATGAGGAGGTATAGAAGGTATAGGAGGTATAGAAGGTATAAGGAGGTATAGGTGGTATAAGGAGGTACAGGGGCGTAGCCAGAGGGTGTGCACAGGGTGCCCGGGCACCCCCTTGGTCAAAAAACGCCTGGAGGAGAGTACAGTTAAAATGTCTTTTTTGAGAAATAAAAATTTATTTTGCTGCTGGTGCATACATCCCATAATGAGTCGGCACCCCCTTGAAAAATTTCTGGCTACGCCACTGAGGAGGTATAAGGAGATATACTAATATCGGTTCCAAAATATAAGGCAGGTGGTTATTTCTTGAATAACTTTTGATAGGAAGAAGATAGAGACCTGTGGTTTTCAGTGTTCGATAGCCAAGACTCAGGAGCATCTATCATAAAGCAAGGTCTCTTCTCAGGTGAACTCTCAAAAGTGGTTTTTCAGAGGGTCTCTGGAAAACTACGCGAAATTTCCAAAAACTGCCGTATAAGCCTACTGACTTCTCTACATATTCTTAATCAACAGCAAAAGACGAATCGATTCATATAAGTATCGAAGAATTTCGAAGACATTTTTTTCGACGAGTACTCTACCGCAAGGGTATCTTAAAAAAAATGAAGTTGGTGAAAATGCTGTTTTTATTGTTTAACAACTCATTATTTTGCGTTCTAACGTCATTTTACGAACTTCGAAATCGTTTTGAACTATCCAGGTGACTTTTTGACCCATTTTAGTTCTTGAGGTACCCCTTGCGGTAGGGTGCTCGTCGAGGGTGTGGGTGTGGGTGAGATGTGTGGGTGTGGGGTGTGGGTTTGCGTGAACGATGTTCTTCTCTTCAATCACACTCACACCCACACTCACCTACACCCACACCCACACCCCACACCCACACCCACACCCACACCCTACACCCTACACCTCCACCCACACTCACACCCACACCCCACCCACCCACACTCACACCCACACCCCACACACACATCGATACCCATACCCACTCTAGTAGTTTTCCAGCAGCATGACTCGCCATTTTGAATAGCACAAATAGTAAATTTTATGCTACATTAAGCCTTATGAGAATGGAATTTATTGGTATGGTATAATAAGGTTTAGAAGTAGTGGTTCTTATCATCTTGTACCAACTTATGTTTAGTTTTTTTATCTTTCAACCGACCAGAAAAAACTCGATCATATGATTTTTTTTAGTTTTCATATTTATCTCTAATTCCAACTGTTGTTTATTTTATTTTATTTTTCTTCACAAATAGACTTAAGAACGATATGAAAAATATATTGTTCTGCTTCTAATACAGTCGGAGTTAACTTTTATTTTACTCATCCTCTCTTTTTAGATCATCGTCATCAAAACAATGTCTGTCAAAGGTCTTTTTTATATTAGTCACAGATGGAGTGCAAGAAGAGAAGGTTGCTGTACACAATAGTAGTGTCAGCAACAGTTTATTATGTGGAATTTTTAAAACGAATATTGTCGGTTTACAATGCTTTGATACCAGGTCAAATACTGAAAGCATTTTGTGAGTTTCTAAAAAATGTAGGTAGTATATAAATCGATCTTTGTTATTCTTTTATTTAGTATTAGTTGTGTTGCTGGTCAATATGCTGTAACTGTAGAAGAATACTTGATTTACAAAATCATTGTCGAGTATAAAGGTAAATGATCATTCATAGTTAAATAGAATGAGTATTCTTCAGATCTCAATTCTGAATGAAAACTATTTCGAATTTATGTGAAATACTAAATTTCTTTCTAATTGTTTAGGAAGAACATCTAATGTTGAACCAAAATTAACTGAATCAAATGATCAAGTTAGTTCTGTACTTCAACAAGGGAAAAGAGTCTTACACCAACGAACGATATTAATAGAGCACAATTTAATCAATTATTATCAACATTTGATATGAGAAGCTTATGAATTTAAGTACAAACTTTGATAATAAACTTAAGGATCTAACAATAAATATTGATGCAAAATTCAATCATTGTAAGTTTTTTCAACAACTCCTTAGTGTACATAATAAAAATATGTCATATAATCTTTTTGTCTAGTATCAAATGAACTTAACTTGCTCTTTGAACTTGTTCAACCTACTATTGGACGAGCAATTGATCCATGGGATATAACTGCAAGATCACACACTAAGATAAAATGTGTCGCATGTGTCGCACTTTGCGACACAACGTACGACACATTAATATGCGACACGAGGAGCTCGTTGCGACACATTTCTTCCAGCGGACGTGCGACACATTCTTGTGCGACACATGCAACACATTTTTAACACGTGGTTCGAATCCATTTTTCGGCACGAGGATTATTTTTTTTTGAAAATTCGAATAGTTACTAT